AAAAGAATACATGTATTTTTCTCAGTCCCAAATGATGAGTAAGCAAGTCCCTGGGTGATACAAATGTAAAGTGCTCAACTACCAGCTGAAAAGGTGGCAGTTTGACTTGACCCAGAAGTACCTTGGGGGGAATGCAGAGAGATGTGCTTCAGAAGTCAGACTTAAAACCCCTATTCTGCACAACGAAGTCACTGTGTGTAGCAACTGACTCAGTACCACCTAACAATAATAGAAATGAAAATACAGAAGTCTTACTGCTGTTGAGCACCATTAAGATGGAACCAACCCACAGATGACCCTCAAGCGGGTTTTCAAAGGCAGTTAATAGCACAAAAGGGGGCTGTCTGTCTTTCTCTAATGGAGCAGCTAGTGGATTTGAACTTTATACCTTTGGGTTCACACAACTAGGCCGTAGGAGCTCCCTTAGGATTTACTATTACTAAGAAAAAAGGCACACATAACATACGTTGTTTCACACAAAATAATTTTACTGACTCTCTTCCAAATGTTTATATATATCAACTAAGTGGAGTCTCATATTCCAAGTGGAAGGTATCTTTTTATAGATAGGAAAATTGAGACACAGAAAGGCTAAATAACTCTTGTTATTGCTGAATATCATCAAGTCATATTGACTCATAGTTGACCGAGTACCAGATTTTCAAAGGTAGTAAAAATGCAGAAGAGACTGCCCAACTTTCTGATATGGAGCAGCAGCTGGTGGATCCAAACCACATACCTTTGGATTGAAAAGCACAACTCCTTATCATTAAGCTACCAGAGCTCCCTCCAGGAGCTCTCTCAAATAAATAAGCCAAAGAGCATAGAACTTAAAACTGGAACCCCAAAATTTTATTCACTCTTTATAGCACCTACAGACTACATTCTTCTATGAACTCTTTGATGCCTAAAATTGTAAGAGTGATCATCAAATATAGTTGTATATTTTCCTGTTGGAAAGATATCTGAACAACAATATCTGAACAACAATAAAGCAATGAAAAGGAAGACTGAAGTGTACATACCAATCCTGAAGGAAGCATGACCACATGCTATACTTGGCTATGTGATTTGAAGAGTGTAGATCCTGCATGACCCTCAAAATGACACGTGCTAGAGATGTTGGCCCCCAGAATCTCTTCACCGCCCTTGGGGTATGCTAGACAGACTCTTGAGGATGGCACCAGGGTGACCACAGTAAGATAAGTGAGTGAGTGCAGCAGTGAGCTAGGCAGGAAAAGAAGTTTAATACGTGAAAAAGCACTTTGTTAAGGTTCTAAGAGGTTCTCAAGACTAAGAGGTTCATTAGTGAAGTATTGACAAAAAGACAGTTAAAAGCAGGAAGGAGAGAAAAGCACTCTTGAAGAGATGAGAACAGGTCACCTCTCACGGGATGAGGGGGAAAAGGTAACAGACCAAAGGAACTAGACCAAGAAAAGAACTCAATCACAGTAAAAAACAAAACAAAAAACCAGAAAGAATCTAAACCCAGACTCTGTCACTCAGATCACTGTATAACCTCACAAAAGTTACAGACTTTTCTAGGCTTCAGTTTCTCAACTGTATATTACAGATTTTGAAAATCAAAAGAGAAAACTGATGCACAAAGTTTCACCATTTTATAGGTAAGGAAAAGAAAGCTCAGAGATACATGACTAGTCTGGGATTATAACCCAAGTCTTTTCATCTCTAAAGTGGTGTTCTTTCATTACAGATACTATCTTCTTGTACAAGTAAATGTAAAACCTAGGAGATGTTGATATACATTACACATGGTTAAGTCCAGCTTTCTCCATTGAGGTTTTTTTCACCAATCTTTACAATATATAATTTTGTCACTCAACATTTAAACCTGTATAATACAAAGTCTTAGGTAAGAGAAACTCAAATGAATGATCCTATCAATAAAAATTCAGTTAGGCTCACTGCAATCCCAGAGGTACGTGGTTCAAATCCACCAGATGCTCTGCTGGAGGAGGGGCAATCTCCTCCTGTACCAGTCAGATTCAATTTGACAGTAAAGACACAAAATAATAAAATTTGTAAAAAATTAGAAAAATTCAGTTAGGGAAGTATATTAGACTTTCCTGGGATTTTGACTGTCACTCATCCTTCCTACCAATCTGCAAAGACAATTGACTACAGTCAGACAGTGATGGTGTATCAGATAACTAATGTTTGACTATTACAAAAAGGAATCCAAAGGCTAACATTAGGAGTGTATGTTATATATACCTAGTACTCTGTGTACATTACACCCATTTCAATCCTCAGTAGAACACTGTGATTTTATTCAACTCTCTAACAACCATATAAAGAAGTTATTAATCCCTTTTATAGTTGGAGGAACAGAAGTACAAAAAGGTTAAATGCTTTTTGTAGGGCCATAAAGTTTTTCACTGGGAGAACCAAATCCCTCACCCACACTGTCAAGTCCAAGGCCAAGTCTCTCCGCTGCAGTCCACTATCTATCTACTCAGAATACCTGGTTTTCTCACTGTGATGCTGGGCACAGGGCAAGTTCAGCATCAGTCAGGACAAAGCTCAAAGACCCTTCTATGTCCTATAGTAGGGCCAAGTTTTCTGTTCCCAGGTCAAAGACAGTAGCTGGTCATTTAAATTCAATAGTTATTTACTGAGCATCAAAATAAATGTGTGTTACAGAATTGAATCCTAGAACATGGTTTCTTTAATGATAGCAATGTTGGCTTTCAGCTACCACCAAAAAAATAATAAAAACATTATAAAAAAGTGTTCCTTTATAATAAATGCCAATCTTCTCATGGGTTCAACAAAGAAGGCCAATTTCCGTGGAGGAAGAGAAAATAGGCAAACCTTCGGGATTTTCCAAACATGAAGCTCGACGATTCTGTCACAGTCCACAACTCACAGACAGCTATGCTGACTGCCTTTATAAGCAATGAAGAGCACAAGACCTGTCAGTCCAGAGCCTTGCTAGTGATCTACACGGCAGTGTGCTTCCAGAAAGCCAGCTCTCTGTGAGAGTGACAGGAAGGCTCTCTCCTACAGGGAAATGCAATGGATGACAAGTCTGACTGAGTCATGGGGGAGCTGCTGCACAGCAAGGTTCCTGTGCTGTAAAAAGGAGCTATATTAAGAGATCACATGCTAATTTTTATTATCTCAAGAATACATTGCTGGCTGGCTGAAATTTTTTCTTTATTTTAACTTCCAATTTGTTTTGTTACAAACAGCCTAATAAGTTTTGACCCTGTCATGGAGACTATCTGATCATTTCTGAGCTGTTGTTTCGCATACAGGGAAGAGAGGTGGACAGGGTGGGTCCAAGCAGTGTCCTGAGCTCTGCTGTGGAGTCAGGGCAGGGGGCGGGGCAACCAGATTGTACCTCTCTGCTGCTTTCGTGTACCCTGTTAGAAACCAGCTGCCACTTCCCCCAGCTACCTATTTCACAAGGCTGTTGGGGCAGATTCAGAAAGATTTTTAGTTCCCTGAAAGAAGAACATTCTGCCAAGAACTGGAAAGATTAAGTATTACATTTCCTGTCTGAATTAATCGTTTCAAAGTACACTGAGATCTGAGGAAGGCAAATTCACTAGGAAAGCCAAGCATTACTCCAGGTTTATCTTTTCAAAATCGTGTATCCTGTACGTACTTTATTTCTGATGCCTTGATCAAGAAAAGAAATTTCATTGAGTAATGAAGAGGTATATAATTGGATTAACTTTGCAAATAGCCAAATTAGACTCTCCACTTACGTAGCCATCCATTTACCATAATAAATATTTATTAAGTATATACAAAATGCAAAGCAATAAGACAGATGCTGTAAGGATACAGAATTATGTGAATGTCTCTACATCATCTTATACTAAACACATACCAAAAGATGAACCCTTTGTTTAGATTTCCCCCTCAAATAAAACAAGTTTTACGTTTACTTAGGACACGGGAGAGAAAAATAGTTTTCCATGGCTTTCTGGCCTCATGGAAACATTTAGTTTAGAACACTTGGGAGAGACTATTTTCTTATTTCTAAGTATTCACTGACAAGCAGCAACTTTCTCAAGTCCAAGTTACAGAACGACTGTAACTTCAACAAACATGGGCGTGTGTAACATGTGCGTGTCATTGGAGAAACAAAGAAACCTATGTGTCCTTTGATTTCAATAAGACTTGAACCGTATTGTCACGGGAAGGAGGAAGGAGGATATGTGTTGTGGAAAAAAGATCAAGAAAGAAAGGAGAGACATATTCCAAAAAAACAGCAAGCCACCTGGGCTTCGTGGCATATCCTGCCATAGTAAATCACCTACAACTCCACACTGAAAGGAGAGGGTAAGTCCTGTCTCAATGCTTCACTTCTGCCACTGATGGAACTTGAGAAAGAAAATGAAGGCAACCTTTTCAAGTTAGCCAATCAAAGCATAAATCGTAGTCCGGATATTTAAGGGAATAAGCTCACTGGGGGTTTGCTTAGCACATAGTCGATGTTTCTCTCAAATGAATTTACACAAGAAGCCCCAAATTTCCTTAAAGCATTACCTACATTAGTTTATTAAAATTGATTGTGCCAATACACAAATTCTTTGTGTGTGTTTACTTTTCTTCTTAAGAGACATGAGTAAACTGTCCTCAAAATGAGAATCAACTTCTTAAGATTGGCTTCTTTCACTTTCAATATCACTTCTGTCCTTGAACAAATGGCATAAACAGAAAGCTGAGGACCAGCATGTCTAAGGATGGAGAATTAAAGATGGGTTAACGCTTTAGTGTAAGTAGGGTTGAATAAGACCACAGGGTTAAGGAGATCTAAAGCACATGAAATGAAGTTCTGCCCAAGGACCAATAAGACTTAGAGTTCAAGCAGCAAGGATAGGCAGACTCTTCACAGAAAAAGGAAAAGTGAGACTCAGCTAGTTCTGTGTTCCATGGTGCAATTTCACATGCAATACATGAATCCTTCTTATTTATTCATTCATCCCACGCCATCCTCCCAAATAAAAAGTAGATCAACTTACATGGCTCTCTGGCAATGAACTGAGGTACAGTGTTGGGCAGAGGAGTACTGGGGTTTGGAGTCCCTACTAGTTTGTTCTTGGCCATCTTCGTGTTTGCCTTAGCAAACTCTAGTCGTAGTGTTTGCGGGATTTCAGGATCGAAGCGGATGCCCTTTGGAAATAAAGAACAAATGGAAGATGTTTTCATTTCCTTAGAGTCAAACCGGAATGGTGACAAAATAAACACACCAGTAAATGCTGGCCTCTATGGAAAGGAGGTCAGCAAGGGCACACACTCTCACTACGTACTCAGGAGACAGAGAGACCTGTCAAACAATGTGACCATAATACAGTCAGAAGGGTTTGCTCACTTAACTGAAAAATCTAGTTAGATGATTTTTCCCTTTGCTTCAAGGATAAAGTTTTTTCCATTCAAGTTTTAACATTTGGACCTGCAAATTCCTTTTGTGGTGTTGTTGTTGTTATATGCCATCAAGTTGCTTGCAACTCACAGCAACCTTATGTACAGTATCTCTGAACCCTGTCCTATGCTGAGCCAATTGCTCCTAGTGTTATGTAAAATTTCAATTAATGGTTACCATGCAGAACGAAAGAATGAATGTAAAATCACGGATACAGCTCTGTGACCCATGCAGCACATGGACAATTTCTATTTGTGTGCTGGAAAGTCTAACCTCTTCAAGGGCCTCAGCTCCGACCAGTAGTTTCCACTTAAGTTTCAAATAATCTAATTCTTCTATATGCCTTAGTGACATCACCAGTAAATGGAGAGAAAATTTTCCAACCTTTTTTACCTGGTAAATTCCCATTAAGGTGATGTAAGTATTATGTGTTAATCAGAAGACTGGAATTATACTAATTTAGGATTTTACTATAACTAGCATCAGGTGATTCCAGAGGGCTTACAAATCTTTATAAAACATGAATGTCTTAACACGTTGATGTTGATTGTGGTTGTTTATAGTTGCCTTATTCGCTATAAGAAAGATAAAAGATTGTATCAGCTAATTGTTCTGAGGTAACTGAGGTTATTACTTGTTGAGTAGTACTTATTGGGAGAACAAACTGAGAATATTGTTATTGAGACGACTGTAACTCAGAGACCCTATGAACAACAGCTCTTAACCTTGCCCTACCCTATGCCACCTTCACCATCTCTGACAAGGTCTAGCCCATTGTTACAGTCACTGTGTCAAACCATCTTGAGGGTCTTCCTCTCTCTCTCTGATCCTCTATAGAAGATCATAATTTCAGTTACTCTTGTGCCTGTTATTAGAGTAGGCCTAAAACAAAACATGGCTTAAAAATTACAAACACAATAAATGCAAGAGAAGCCTACCTAGGAACCCTCCCATTAAAAAATGTTGCATTCACACGTCATAAAGAACCTCTGGCTAGCCATGTTTAAAGCCATGGATTCTGGATCCCCATAGGACTAACTACACATCTCAGCAGAGTACAAGAATAAAGAAAGCCTGGCTGATGTCCTGCGCATAAAGCGGAGTCTGTGAAACCCAGAGCCCCTTTTCCCTCTTCTTGATTAGCTCTAGGAAAAATAAGGGCAATTTCTGTAAGAAATGAGTGAGAATTTCGGACTCTCTAGGCCAAGGACTCTAAACTACATTCTTGGCACCAAAGATATGAAGACCCTGAGACTGGAAGGCAAAGACGATGAGAGGAAATGAGAGGAGGGGGAGGAAGGAAAAGGTCCTGGGAGGGCTGCACTTGAGGGCTGGGCCCTGCCCCAAAGACATGCAGTGTGATTAGAATCTCTTCACATTTTCACATTTGTTGAGGGAAAAAGGTGGCAAGGGGGGTGGGGGAAACAAACGGTTAAATAGGTGAAAAGAATCCTAATTAATGTAAAAAAGTGAAAAGAGGGAGTTAGTTTTATGAAAGATTAAAAAACCAAAACACACAAACAGAAAAGACAAAACAAATTTTTCCTTTTCCTAGTCTATTTTTTATTAACCCCCTAAATAAACCAGTATTGTCTTGCAACAAAGGTAAACAAGAAAAGGCTGATTCTTTTGCATTTGCTTCTATTCACTTCTATTTGCTTCTATTCACTTCCACTTAAGAGCGTTTCATCCTATCTAAGCTAATTCATTACAAGAGAAAACATATTTCCAAATATGGACCTGAAAACCTTGGCTCTGCTGAAACAAATATAATCTCTGGTTGTCAAATGACAACTGGTGTATGGACTTCTGTAGTCAGAGCAAACCCTAAGACTCCATTTGGTCGTCGTCCCAGGTATTCAACTCAACCAACCTTCCTTTAAGACACTTACTTATATACCCAGAGCCCACGTCTCCCTGAGCACTCTAGCACAGGCCACCGGGCTGAGCATAAGCAGAGCATCTTAGGACTTGTCTGGAGACCTCTGGAGGCTCCAGCCTGAAATAAAGGAATTCTCTGTCTCAGCTCTCACAGTGGTATTCTGGAGTCAGCTGAGGATCTGCACAGAGTACTTGCCTCTTGCACAACCTGGGCTGGTGGCTCACATCCTAAAACACGCTGAATCCCCTACTCCCTGCCCCCATTCTCATGCTCCACCCCATCAGAGCAAAAATAACACCACCATAGTGTTCCAAATCAAAGTTCCAGCATCCTTTAAATGACCTAATTTGTTTGGCAGCTTATTCAGAGGCCGGAGGCTTAGAATACAAGCCACATTCCTCTAACATCTTTAGCAGCGATACCATATTTGGTAATCAATATCCTGCTCAGCTAACTTTCCATCCATAGGGATTAGCCAAGCTCAAAACATTCTAAAACATTAAAGGATGATGAAGAGGAGACAGATGAAGGTAGAAAGGAGAACTTAAAAGTGAAGAGGTAGAAGAGAAAAAAATATAAAAAGGAGAAAGATAAGAAGACATTGAAATACACATACACAAAACCCTGTGCTTTTAATTAAAGCCTAATAAGATTATTTTCTGGGCACAGTGACTTCACATTAAATGCTGTCAGGATAAAATTACTGCCAAGTCAAAGGAATTGAAATCTGTGCTTTTCAAAATCAACTTTTTCCTCTCGTCTGTAGTTCACCCAAACTTATCCTAAAATGAATCGAAAAACTTTATCTTCCAAATATTAGTACTTAGTGTTCTCTCTCTCTCTCTCTCTCTCTCTCTCTATATATATATATGAAAGGGAAGTTTTAATGTCATTATGATATTAATCTGAGAATAAAGAGTTCCAAGAACATCATCTGACTGCTATGGTGACAGCTGATCTGAGTTCAGATACTGAACTCCCTTATCTGGGTACAAACTCAACTGTGTTCCCCCAAAATACACATATACGATGATATAATGTGGATTATTCCACATGATCTGTTAGACCAAATAGTTGTAGGAGGATTAGGGATTAAATGAAATACTCCTTAAATCCATACAGCCCTAATTGGGTAAAAAATATAAGAGGAGTTTCACTAGCATGTGGCCTTTACTATCTCTAGTGAGATAAAAAGGAAAGGAACTAAACAGAAAGGGGGACCCTTAGTGCTGCTACCAAGAAGTAAGCACCAGCAGTGCAGTTTGTCTTTTTGGATCCAGGCCCCAAGCGCAACAAAATTCAACTTCTTGACAGCAGGAAGGTCAGAGTAAGTGGAGGTATCCAGGGAATGCCAGGCCTACAGATGTTGAAGGAAACATGGACTTTCCCTTATAATGCACCCTGAATTTGGACTTAAACCTCTTCAACGAAGAGAAAAAATAAAGCCATCTGCTGTAAGTTATCTCTGTTATAGCAGCATTAGATAACCAACACAGACATAGTTAACAAATGATGCTTCCTTTGTTGCTAAATGCCATCAAGTCAGTTTTGACACACAATAACCCAGGTTAGTAGTATCAGAACAAATCTGTGTGAGCCTTCACACACACTGCTGTACCTGACCCCACTGTTGTAGTCACCACGTCAATCCATCTCATAGAGAGTTTTCCTCTTCTTTGCAGACCCTTTACTAAGCAAAATGTTGTTCTATAGGGACTACTGGGTCCTTTCTTCTATAACTTACTCAAAGGACATGAGACAAAGTCTCATCATTCTAGCTTCTGAGGAGCACTCTCTGCTCTTCTAAGATAGATTAGTTTGTTCTTTGGACAGTCCATAGCATATCCAATATTCCTGGCAAAGACAATTCAAAGAAATGGATTTCTCTTTGTTCTTCTTTATTCTAAGTACTCTAGAGGATCCTGGGCCAGTTTCAAGTCCATGTGCTATGCTCACAGTTTTCCATGCGGAGCCATAGAGGTTTCATGTCAAAAACACCCTCATGGCATTTATTCCTTTCTGAATTGTGCCCTGTGGCCTGAGACAGGCAAACCTTCTTATTCTCCAAAACTGTAGTCCATTCCCCATCAGCTACAACCTTGGTCCCACTTTCTCCCTTCAAGGGACTCATGTCAGACACATTTCTATTCAACGAACCATTGCAATGCCTGCCACTCCAAGTATCTCCAAAATTTCTGATATCTAATCCCTACCACTTTACAACAAATAGCTACACTTTATACAGTAAGCCATTAGAGACTCTTAAGGAAAAATGAAAACTATTTCTACACTGTAATGCTCTAAAATCGAGGAAAATCAGTTATTAATTCCTAACCTCTGTACATCCAAAAAGAGCAAGGGACCACTACAAGTTTAGAGTTAAGAAAGATGTGTGTGAGGCTTGTATCCTTTCTCCATACATACTGAATCTGTATTTTGAGGTAATTATTTGAGAAGTTGGACTCTATGAAGAAGAACGTGGCATTAAGACTGGAGGAAGACTCATCAATTAATTTTCAGTATGCAGATAACGCATGACACAACTTTGCTCACTCAAAGTGAGGAGGAGGACTTGAAGCAATCCTTGGAGATCAAGGACTAGAGCCTTCAATATGGGTTGCAAGTCAATGTCAAGAAAACAAAAATTCTCACCACTGGACTGATAGGTAACATCATGATAGATGAAGAAAAGGTTGAAATTGTCAACAACTTCATCTTAGTTGGATCCAGAATCCATACACTTGGTACCAGCAGTCAGGAGATCAGGAGACAATGCACTGGGAAAATCTGTAGTTAAGAACCTCTCCAAATTACCAAGGAGCAATGATGTTAGTTTGGGTACTAAGGTGTGCCTTACAGAGACTATGG